ATTTTATATTAAACTTGACAAGTGTACCTAATTTAGTTATTAAGTAGGTATCTACATGGCTATATTATATATTTATTTATGACTGATACTGTGTTTGTGTTTATGTTTTTATTCGAATATTATAGTACAGGACCTATTTATAGAGATATTTTATTTATATTATCGTTGACCTATATTACAGATACTTATACGCTTTACAATTGGCCTTCACAAACGTCCTAACTATACAGCACCTACTAGCCACTGATTAACTAACAAACGATAAGGGCGACCTATCCGAATTCAATATTTCTTCTCCACACAACTTTAGAATAACAATCTGGATAAAGGAATGAAGATTTAAAATATTATTCGTAAATGCAATATGAATATACCTGACCGACTGGTTTTACGTTAGACCACAGGGAATCGTTGTAATTTTCGATAGTGGTTTCCAAAGTGGTCAAACCTGAGGATATAAGATAGAAATCATCTCCGGACTGAATGCCACCCGGGTACGAACTGAACGACATATCGAACCCGCGTATTAGTTTTTTGGACGTTTTGCTCTTCCTGAACCGCAGACTGTACCTCTTCTGGATTCTCAACATCGTTTCGTACCTGCAGGCAAAGTGTGGGGGGTCAATCATATGATAAAATATGTGATATTACGACGGCTACACGTATCTACGTTTTATGCAGCTAGTACACCCGCATATTATATAATATAGATTATAGGGTGTATCTGGAAGGTTTGATTGTATGACTTATTAATGATTAAATTGAACGAAGAAGTCATTTAAATTGTTTAATTCTCCTGATACGCCAAATAATACAATTATGCAATATGGTGGTTATAATTGATTGCCCGTCGTATTTACCCGCTCCATGTTACATGTGACACGAGTATGTCTTTGTTTTCTGGCATCAGTTTGATGAGAGCCGAACATGATCCGCTTCCCAAGACTCGGGTGTCGGTGTCTGACGGATTCAAAGCGACGGATAAGTCGCCCAAGTCGTCCAAGGCATTTAGCCAGCTATATATAGAATATGCAACATGTGTACAACGAAATAATTTGTATTAAAAATTGAACATAATCTTAATATATCGTAATTATAAATTATAATGTACCCATTTTAATTTATAAGGTAAGAAAATAACAATAATCTCACTATAAATCGTTCCAAGACAAATCGGGCGTACCGGGTGACTTGCCTCGCATGTATCCATCGTACAACCCATCAAGTTGTTTGTAATACAGTCCGACCTATATGATATTATTATGTACCGAAATAATCGTTTGAGATGTATAGCAAAAATGAAGTGTGATCAAAAAAAAAATTACATGCCTGGTACCAATAAGAATCGGACTCATTTGATTTTGATTTAATCCAATTTGTATTAGCCGCCATGTAATCTTTTAGTTGTTGACAGACGTGCGGCCGATCGGTGCAATAGCCTTTAGCCGTGTTGAACCAATGGCTATATATGAGATCAGCTGTTAACGTTCCTTCCAAATACCCGGCACCATACGCTTGATCTTCGTCTTTGGCTTTTTGTGAAGTCCTGATCTCTAAATAAGCCCATCTAAATTGTTGTTACAATTAAGTCACAAAAATTAATTAGCTAAAAATAGTGAATCGATTTACAGTTACCTAATTTATAGTATATTTACTTTAAACGTAGATACTCTAATTTATTTAATTGTAAATTACTTTTTTTTTATTATTATTAAGACGAAACTCCCGAATCTTCAAATACTTCATATATTATACGAGTATATGTTAGTGGAACTCAGTATTTATATAAAATACTAGACTACCTAAAACTGTAGGCAAATTATGCGAGTATATAATTGTTCTCTAAAAGTGTAACTTTCCTTTTTCTACTGAATGAGACAACGACTGAAATACTTAAACTATTTTCACCAAAAAATGTTTTTTTTCTGAATTTTGTATACGAATTCATTATTCTCTTACTTGTGTCATACCAAATGAAACTAACTTAAACATTGCTTACACGTAAAAATAATATTACTCAACAATCACCTAATGAACTTCCCCATGAAAATTTGTTCTTTTAATTTGAATTATTCAATTTTTTGAATAAGTCAAAATCTCATCATTAAAGTGATCATCGAATTTAATAACTAGTAATTACTATACAAATATGTATGGTCTATGGTCCTATGGAGTTGTTTGAATGGAATCTTTCGTTGGAATTTGAACTTAAAATGTGTCTAAAAAATAACTGTGTTTATATATTTTTTAGATTTTTTCCAGTATGAACCATTCATGCGAATCCTTGTTTTAAATTTTCAATTCTTATCTATAAAAATTAAATGTTTTACTAGTTTTAGCTACAATAAATGTGTAAATTGTCAAAATTGTGAAGATTTTCGTCAACATTTTAACTTTAAAAACGCACAAAAATCGTGCTTACTGATCATTAAAATTTCTCAACTGCTTTTATAACTACTTATGAGGAACGTGATATTAAAATGTCAAGCTTTTTGACCCAACTAATACAATTTTGTTGACATTTATAGAATAAAGAACTAAAAATATTCCAAATTTCAAATGACTAAAAATAACTCAAAACGAGTTAAAATATTTTGTATATTTAAATATTTTATCATGTAAAGAAAATGATAAAATAAACATTATTCGACGACAATTTCAAGTACTTACAGATCTTCATCATCAACCCCCCCCCCCCCCCCAGGGGATGCACCAACTAGATTCACTTCCCTACCAAAAAAGATACTGGAGATCAAAGTATTATTTAATATGGTATAGAATAAATATCAATAAAATCAAAAAAAAAAATTATCCAAAGTAGTATTGCCGTAATAATCAATTTTTGTCGGTTATTGTCAACAGAAAAATTTTCACATTTATCAGAGCCCTTTTTAAATAGCTATGCTATGATATTCAGTATTTTCCTATTTGAAATGATTATGAAAAATGACTATAAAATCGTTATTTATTAAAGTTTTTGTTGTCTAGTGTAATGTATACGTACCCTGTAGTGTTGATACTGTCTATATATTTGGCTTTACCGATAATTATCTCTTTGGACTTAACAGTGTAGAGCTTAGGCTGGATAGTTATTCGATTGTTTTCCTTTTTCACCGCGAGCAGCGTTTGGTTTTTCTTTATGGCCGAACATTGTAACGCCCAAACAGACAACAATGAGAGAACTATACATCTTATTGACAACATTGTTCTACTGATACTAAACAAATGCGTTGTGAATTAGAAATTAATGAGTCGCGTAATGGCCGTTGACTTTTGATCCATTTGATATTTAAATTAGTTTTATAAATGGGTATAATATTATTAGATAAGATATCGGGAGCAAATATTATATAAGTTGTTCCAAATATAATATTGTGAAGTAGGTATCTAATTGCTATAAATTATTTGTATGGGGCCAAGCAATGTGGAAAACAGTCCCGCTCTCAAGTGGAGGTGCCATAATAATTATAAAAAAGCTATGTATTATTTCTGAATTGAAACAAAAAAGGAGAAAATATTATTTTTTAAATTATACTACCTAATTTAATGTATTCTAATGGTAAAATCAAGTGCGAATGAATAATGTTATTTACATACAATATGAGAGAAACAATTTTTTAAAAATTCATTATTAGGTTGTAAAAATAAAACAAACATCATTTTTAAACGATGGACTTATATTTTATTAGATGCGCAAAGGCTATTTCAAAATTAATGGAAGCTATTAAATATTTTGAACAATCATATATAGTTTTTTGTATAGGTATCTACGTACAATAATTATTCATTTACCTCAGTTTGTTGAGTAGGTAGTTACTATATTTCTTATATTATTACTTACCTATTTGTTCAGCTAATTACCTTGATAAAGTTTTAATTGCAAAAAAATATTTCGATAAGTACATAATATTATAATTAAATTTTAATTAAATGTGGATCCTAATTATTTCAACGTTATGTAATGAATGATGAACTACAGACATAATTATTATCATTGGTTGTTTAATTAAAAATACTAAAGTACTAAGTACTAAATATGAAAATCATACTCTAATTGATATTTGACAAATTCAATATGGAAAATACACATTTCTTAAAGCATTGAGATTATTAAAATTAGATGTTTAAATTTAGATTCAAAAAAGCTTTATTAGTCGTAATTCTTTGATTGTGGCTATTTTATTCATAATTTATGCCTAGCTTAGAACTGTGATAATAATGGATCACAAAATCCAAATTTTTAAATTTATTTATTAGTTACAAATGAATAACGATCAACCCTTTTAAATGTTTTTTCGTCAATCAGGAAAATGATAAATTACCAACCTGTGCTACCTATTCTTTTTGATTGAAAGACAACAACGCACGTTAATATTTTTTATTTGTATATTCTTTGTAGTCTGTTGCATACCTCTACTCCGCAAATACACGGTTCATAAAACAACGGGCGTAACACGATTGCGGACTTTTTACCTTTTTACCTGAAAAAAACATAACACGATTGCGGACTTTTTACCTTTTTATATTTGAGAAAAAACAACACGATTGCGGACTTTTTACCTTTTTATATTTGAGGAAAAACAACACGATTGCGTGTTAAATATTTTTATTTTGAGCAAACACAAATATTTAAATAATTTTAAATAAAGGAATATATTTTAAGAAACCCACTTATAGTATAGTATAGTATACGTATTACGTATACACAATTGCTACGGACAGTGGATACTATATGGTGTCTAATAATATGTTATTACTATAATAACTGATAAGTGTTAATGGCTGTGCTTTTCCAACGTATTCACATCCGATAATATCTATTGTACCGGATTTTATTTTATTGATAATTACTAATACTGTACGTTAAAGAGATCTATAGTGTGGCAGTTGTCAGTCACATGCTCACGTCATATTATCTAAACGTTTTATTATATTGTGACAGTCTATATTGTGCAACGTGTATATTTCCGTTTATTTTTGTGCAATTTGGTTTTGGGAAAATGGAGAAACAAATACAAAAAAAATTTGAAACAGAAAAAGGTAAGCCGTGTATTTTAGTTGAAGATTATAAATATAGTGAATTTAAAGTTCTGAAAAAGTGTGGGAACATTCGGTATAACTGTACAAATAAAAATTGTTCTGCCAGTTTACTCGTTGATAAGGATGTGACCAAAGTGTTAAGTATGTTAAATGAGCACACACATGACGTGATTCCAAAAAATATTATTAGTAGGCAAATTGTGAGTTCACGTTTAAAAAGAAAATGTGAAAATGATTTTCTCACTAGGCTAAATAAAATAATTAGGCAAGAACTTAGAAATACCGAAAACGATATCCAGCCGGTTTATTCTGATATAAAGTTATGGAGAAAGTCTATGTACGATAAACGTAGAAAGAATATGCAAAAAATTCCAAAATCTTTAGAGGAAGCTATAACTCAGTTGTTTGATGGTCGTGAAAATATTACAACTAATACTGGTGAACTATTTTGTCACATGGAAGAAACTTCAAGTCCAGTTATATTCACTTGCAAAACTAATCTTGAACTATTAAGTCAATCTTCTCATATTTTTGCTGACGGAACATTTTCATATGCACCCAAATATTTCGAACAACTGTATTCAATACACATAATATTACAAAATGGTTTTTATGTTCCTGTAATTTATTGTTTTTTAATTTCAAAATCAACTGAAACTTATATACAAATGTGGCACACAATTATTAATTTATGTTTAAGATTAGACATAGATATACAAAAATCGTTAAAGTATTCAAATTTTCATTTTGATTTTGAAAAAAGTGCTCACAACGCTGTTAGACATTTTTTTCCAAACTGCAAAATTATGGCCTGCAGATTTCATTTAGGCCAATCTTGGTTCAGGAAAATTCAAAGTGACAGTAATTTATTAAAAAATTATAATTCAAATTCTGAACTAGGTGTTTGGTTGAAACAATTTTTTGCACTTGGATTTTTACCTTCGGAAGATGTAGAAGATGCTTTTACTTATTTAATTGAAAATAGCCCTACTGATAATTTTGAATTCACTGATTATATACTGAACAATTATATATCATCTGATGCCGTTTTCCCACCGATTTTATGGGCAACTGAACCTTCAACAGAGGCAAGAACGACCAATGGGCCAGAATCATTCCATAGTCACTATAATTCTCAGTTTTATACGTCTCATCCATCTATTCACCAAGTTCTACATATTTTATTAGATATCCAAAGTGAAACTTATTTAAAAATATATAGTTTAAAACAAAATAATATTAACAAGCCTCGTAAAGATCAAGAAGAGAATATTGCATATATAATAAATACTTGGCAAAAATATAAAAAAAAA